TTGTTTGATAAAAAAAACTAATAACACACCAAAATAAAGGTGAGAGCACTCACTAGGCCAAAGAAAAAGACGCACATATATCTAAAATAAAAAAGAAAATGGCAGTCGTGGAGATTTCACCAAAGTGGATGTTGTCACTGGTCGCTGTGTACTGATCAGTGCAGTAGTAACCTCATCATGTACGATGTATGATATCTTCTTATTTAAAAATAAAGCATATTGTTCTCAAGGGACCCAAAATAAATTGAAAAAATGAGAAAAAAATTAACAAAAAAGAAAACCAAGATAACAGCATTAGTTATAAAGACAGGGTTTCAGTAAGGAGACAGACTCGGCACGTCTTACTTCTTTAGACTCCAATAGAGGAAAAGGAGTGTCTTTTCTAATGTGATCAAAGTGGAAAGGTCCTAAAGTAGGTGAAAGGTCTTGATGCAAGGAGCAGTAGGAAAACTATTCAGAGGTCACAGCTAACATGAAACAAGCCATCTTTTGTGTAGATCTCCAACCCTATTTTTTCTTACTATTGTTCCACACAGAGAAATGTCAGTGTGGGACCATGGGCCCCGGGGGCACAACACTGCTGAGCTCCACAGAAATCCGCACCAGGGCCACACTATAGCACCCACGCTGACATTTTTTCATATTGTGATTTCAATTCTGTAACGTAGGGCCACGACAATTAGCAGCTCCATGGCAGCCAAAACTAATCGATTCGTCAGGGTCGACTCTGGCACGGTTTTCCTCTCGTATGCAACAAGTGCATGACACACACACGCACGGGACAGTGATTCTGTGTGGGAGACTAATTGGCTTCAACTTTGTTTATGTGGGGAGCTTTCTTTGTCACCTACGTGAATATTCATCAGCCCGGGGGCCAATCACAGCCTCGCTTTGTTGAAAAAGGGTACCGAAAGGAAGACAAAACCGTTCCCACCAGAAAACTTCACTCTGTAAAGACACAAGTGCACGCTCGCGCATCGCCGCCTGCATGCAAACACACAGGGAGTATGAAAAAAAGAGGGCAGCTGCCTGAATCTCCCCTTTCTTCTTATTTTTGTCTTTCGCTAAAACATCTACATGTGAACACCAGGACGCACTGCTGCAAAAACAGAAGTAATGCTCAACTTCAAGTTGCATTTTTTTTGGTGGTGGTGGGTAGTGGTGGGGCTGCTAAAAGCTGCAAATTGGCTGATTGGTTCAGCATATTTAGTGCCTGTTAAATATCACCAAAAATGCCAATGAATGCAGTTGTGTCAAAGGGTCTGCACTGATAGAGTGAGATAAGTGTGAATAGGGAAGGGAAGAGAGGGAGACAGAGTGACAGATGGATGACTGGGACAGAGAGGCTCTTTCAGAAGCTGATAAGAGGCCCTATACACTCTTCTACCTCTGAACTAGAGTTGACAAAATGAATGCTGGTATTGTACACAGTGCTACACACTGTCAGTGGGTGGACTCGAACTGTCAAAAAATAGCCCAAGGAGCTAACACTCTGATATTATATGGACTGTACAGCTGCCCACTAACACTGCATGGTGTACACAGAGAGTACACCACTGACATTTTATGGAGTAGAAGGCTAAAATAGCGGCATTATATGATGTAGGCTTAATAAACATTATATGGCCAATAAGTGAACACCTGTTGCATTCAGTATGAACTCACCACTAAAAAAAAACAAAAAAAACAACAAAAACAACTGAAGACATTCCCTTAATGCAATGGTGTTGTTCAATGGTGCCAAGAGGACAAATTAGGGAGTGCACCAAGAGATGTTTAACTTGAACTAATGTCTCACATTAAAAAAATGTCACCCATTATATGTAAGTTTTCCAAGCCGATTAGAAATGAAGAAGCGTTTTTATTGAAGCCACGGTGCATCACAAAGGGAATTTTTGTTTACTGTGAGTAATGGATACTGAGGGGAGATGAGACAGAGGGCTTAGAAGCTGAACAAATAGTTCCTAAGCACTGCTGAACCGTTACATAAAAGGCTGTCACAGAGGAAGGACAAGTAAGCCTCGGCCAGAAATACTGATGGAGAAAGAAATAAATGAGTACGAGTGGGAAGACGCCAAAGCTGAAGGGATTTTACAGCATCCCACGAGCAGATACAACGTGGACAAACTGCTAAAAACTTCTGTGTCACTGCTCAACCAAAGAGATACAGCGGAGCCCCTGAAAAAAGTCGAGTGTTTGGTTTTGTGTAAATTTGCAACCGTAATGTGTTTTTTAGTTCTTGCTGTCGCACGTTTAAAAGTTCTCACACATGTTTATGTGTTCTGGAAACTGTGAAAATGAATTGTGGTAGTTTTTTCATCAAGCTGTAAATAGCTTGAACTAAAAACTTAAACCCACGCTACAAAAATGCTCATGTTCTGAGGTTTATATGATCATCAGTAGGTCGCAAATCACTTTCAGACTACTGTGACATAAATTACACTATAAGATCAAAGAATCTGAAATTTAACAGACTTTTTCCTGTTTCACAGGTCTTAATAAATATAATAAATATAAAATATTATGAAAACATGGTTCAATTGTGAATAACTATAAATTAAATTAACATTTTGATCAGTTAGAACTGTGACTTCTTTACAGCGTCACTGCAGCTTGACTCTGCCGACTACATTACAGGATGTTATCACTCGAGCAGCCTCTCAACACACACAGCAGAATACCCAGGTGGTCTCTATTGTGTTGTCGTTTGAGTTTTTGCGTCATCGTGGCCTGAGAGATTTATAAAACTGAAGAAGCAGAGGAACAGACTAATAGAAACAGGATGCAAAGTGAAAACACCGGGAAACTGGGAAATGAGGCCTGTAAAAACACAGTTGCACATCACTTGACCCGCGGCAGGTTTCCTGAAAACTGAGTTTGGGTTTTTATTTGTTTCAAAGGAACAAGAATGTAGCAGAGGATGAAATGAAGAGAGATGAAAATGAAAAAAAAAAAAAAAGTTATATCTAGGGAGAAGGGTATGAAACTAAATGGAAAGGGAAACTAGTGACCAACTGACATTAGTGACACAGTGAAACCTCAGACACACCCATTTCTACACTACACAGTCAACTACACAACTGACTTCATCTTCAGGGTGTTTTTTAGGATTTTCCTCTGGTTCCAGCTGTAACCTAAAAAAACTTACAAACTCCTCTGATGTTGTCTAGCAACAAGCAACGGGGTAAAAATAAGCTGACTTTTATAACTCACACCATTAAGTTGATTTAATTAAATTTTAGCACAAGCTAAAAGTTGTGCATCATTATGGGTGTGGCTGCTTCCAGCCTGCGATGTATTACCTCAGCTGATCTGAGTCACTGAAATGGACGATGTTTGTGGTCTTTACACAAAAACACAGCCACCCCCATAGACCATAGAGCAGTGACTACTTCATTTTTACATGTATACTTGTATTTATGGGTCTAAAACACAATGAGTCATTTCCAAACTTGGCTTTAGTTAAGTCTCAGTTACGCTTGTGAAGTTTCATGACTGTTCGACAGGGATGTCTAACTCATTTTACATCGTGCGCCACATACAGATCACTTTAATCTTAAGCGGGCCGGACCCTTTCTGTCTTTCACTGTGCAGAAGTTTACCTGCATTTTTAATCCTGGTGATTTCTTAATATAAGAAAAGAAGAGCATTATAACAGTATGTCATTTTTCTACCAACATTGAAATGCTGTTGTTGTAAATGAAATTATTTTGTCAGCATCACTCTTTGGGCTTAAATTGTAAGACATAAAAGTGTAAAGATTGAGAAAAAGCTAATTGCCCAGACTGCCCTGTAATTAGAAAACTGAAAGTTTTTGTCAATTAACAGAAATATTCAGATATTTTTTTGTTACTGTGGACCCATTGTAAAAAAAATGTGAAAAAATAGGAACTTTTCAGTCATTTAATTGTTTTCCACATAATAATTATTTGTAGTAGTAACTGTAGTTTGGCCATAATTGAGGTCATAGTCCATGAGCTGGACTGGAGTCTTTGTCAGACCAATTCTAGCCCCTGGGCTTTATATTTGACACCCTGCTGTTTAGTTTCTTGCATTGTTGCTGTCAATAGACATCAATGCAGATAGACAGACACAAGCCCAGGTACTCAAAACTGCCTTTGAGAAAGTTAAAACAGGTTTATCTCCAGCTGGGGCCTCTCTGTGCTTCGAGTAGTCAGTCAGATGAGAAAAAGCTACATAAATCCCAGTCGATTTCATTTCCATTGCTATCACAGGTGGTACCAAAAAAAAAGAAAAAAAAAGAAGGACCTGAGTCTAACCAATAACTTAAGAGTCTTATGATTTTCAATGTCCATGAGTAAGTAGGGTCTGCTTCAGTCTGAGTGATTTAATTTTCATCACCAGAAGGGAACAAGAAGCTCCCTGCTGCACAGACTTACACGCTTCCCTCAGGCAGATTTGAAGAATATCTAGGGTGTCCACAACTGTCCATGTGTACACACACAAGCATAATCCTTAGCCAGCAGCAGAAAAGGCCAAAGGAGACACACTGAATGGATTTATTAGAAGTCCAAAAGAAGCAGGAAAGTGAGGGATGATGAAAAATAGAGAAAGAAGTTGGAAAAGAAAGAGATTTTGCTGTGACTTTGCTCAGCTGTCTCTTAATATTTACAGAATCTGCTGTCTAAACAAGCACTCTGCCTCAGCCTGGGATCCACAGTGGAGTTTACACAAAGTATGTACTTCTGTGCTTCTAAGATCCTTCATCACAGCCTCAGTCCTGTATACAGTCCTACTGCACTGAAGCGCATGAGCCATAAATGGCTCGCCAAGGCGGACCCATTAATTAAACAGCATGTTGTTTGAAGCAACTAAAGGCCCAAGTGACGACAGTAAATATGACCTATTTAAAAGAAAGACATCAAAGAAGGAGGAGCTGTTATCTCTAATAGAGGACAGTTAGATGCAAAACATAGCAATTAAAATCTTTATAGCAGAAAATAATACAAAAAGTATATCCTGAACTTAGCTAGTGATTGTCTGAATGAACTAAAGGGCTAATCACAAAAACAGGCTTCATGAGCCAGTATTTATACACCAGCATGTAGAGCTTGCTGGAAGGCATGGCGAAACAGTTCTGCAATGAACTCACATTCTCTGCTTGATACCTGCAGCTGTGCACTAAAATGTTTGAAAGCATACTTGGGTTCGTTTCGAAGCGTTCTGACTTGCACAGCGCAATGCTCAAAGGACTTATTGTTTAGATTTTGACTTCAGTGAGTGATGTCAGTTTCCTTATGAAACATAAAGCCTCACATATGAAAGCATAAAAATGTTGGCATGCAGAATCGGAGCGACTTGCTCATCTAACCGAACAAGTTCACGGGAGTACAAAGTGACTCGACCTAGAAACACTGACAGTAATCATTTATTATATAACTCATCACTACCATTTGTGATCTGTTAGCTGTGCTGAGAGTTGGGTCGCAGAGCACAACAACGACAGGCTGTGAAAACAGAATAAACCAATCAGTTAAAAATAGCTCCAAAGCTGGCCTTGAAGCTTTCCAGGCGTTGTCTAATTATTTTTAATGAGAATTCTGGTTCAGTTTTGAGTCTGCCGAATTCACAGAGCCACAGTAAAGGCTATTTGAATTTTCTTTTCATGTTCGCTGCACTGAAGTTTAAACCACTGAAGACCCAGCATAACTTTTTCTGCTGAACTTAACTGTTACGGTTAACAAGGGATTAAAGCGAAGCTTTAATTCTTAGTTTAGGAATTTTTCTTGCATGTGTCAGCGTGTTTAAGAAAGTAGAGCACTTTGTGGTGCACTGCCCAGTGAACCTCCTGGTTTGGCCTTTCTGTGTGGAGTTCACACCCTGTAGCTCTCCTCCACAGTCCACTGTGAAGTCAATTAACGATTCTTAACTGGCCATAGCTGTTATGTGAGAATTAAAGATTTATGCTTCTCTGAGTGAGCTATGTAATGAACTGCCATTTCAATTAGCACTAGCCGGATATTCAAGCCTAGCTGATAAGCTTTGAGGAAACAAGTGGTCTACGCTTAATTGGTTCAGTTAAATGAACAACTAATACTGCATTTCACTGAATTTTCTTGTAGCAAAGAGTCTTTTGACCACTCAGAGTAGAAAAGTACAATATAAGAACAAGTCAAGGAGTAATATGTTTAGCTTCGAGAATGACAAGCAGCTAGCATAACGGTCTGTTAAGTTTAAGATAGGGTTTTGAAAGTTAGTTGGCTGTATTTAAAATGGGAAAAAAACCCCAAAACGAATAATTCTGAAGGACTGCAAGTAAAATACAGCAGCCAGTAGCTCATTACTTAGCACCAGCTCCTTGCTTGTACAGCAGCTAGCTTTAGCTTCTATTGAGATGTAATGTAGATGATACTGGAATCCGTAATGCTTTCATTTTGCTAGGTAAATCTGTTTCATTAGTGGATAATAACAAATAAGCTAGTCAATGATGAGGCAGGTCAATAGAAGATTTCTACGCAAACTGACGAAAGTGAACACTCTCTGTCTGTGTCTGTCATGCAGCCACATTTGCCCTTGAGCAGGTCACTGAACCTGCGACTGCCCTGTTGGAGGTTTTCCGTAGCAGCTGCAGGCTCTCGGGAATCTGTGGCACTGTGTGAAAGGTGAAAGGTAAACTGGGGTTTACCAAGAACAGCGAACTTCGCAAGCCTTCCCTGAACTGTTGGTCTGTTATACTTTAGATGATAGGTAAAGTTTGACCATTAAACACAAAACTGTAAGCGGTTCTCCTAGCAAGTCAATTAATAATTAAAGGTAGCAAGTTACTAAGTATTTTACTTAGTATATTACTTAATCACTGCTACTTAAAAAATGCCTGATTCTGCTGATATTCAACAACCAGTTTATCTAGACTTGCATGTCCAGAGCAGCAGTAAACCATGCAACTAGACGAGGAACACTTTCCCCATTTACGTGTCAAAATGTCACAGGAAGCCTCATCAAATATGTGCTTGAGCGGGACTTGTACATTGGTTTTCGCCAGCTCTCTCGCTCTATTTGTGTCAAGCATACTGTATGAGGATCTCAGGCACATTATGCAATTTAACACCAAACAAAACAGGAAAACCAACCTGATCAAAAGACAACACTGCTCCCAGGACACAGAACAAGACAAAAGCCAAGGACATCATTGTGCAAACAATTCCAAAGACATGCATGGTTTATTCCAGGAACTGACACACATTCATGGAAAGTGTCTTACCATGGAGTGGCCTACAATAAATACAGGTAGGTCAGGGTGGCGAGACTTCATCAGGTCAATGTGCTGAAGGAGTCTCTGATATAAATCTGAAAGTCCTTAATGTTCATCCTGTCACCTTCGCTCTGGCCATGGCCAACTGTGGAAGAAAGAATCAGGAAAGTTTAACACATTATTTAAGACCTTCAAAAACAAGAAAACTTCAAATTTTTTTATGAAAAGAGGGCAAAGTAGCATGATACAAGGGTAATTATAAGCCTAGAGTTATAGCTTATAGCAGTTCAACAAGTTGAATTAAACACAAAACTGTTGAAAGGGTAACTGCATGAGAATAAAAGGCAAATCACAGGCATACTATAAAAATATGTTTTACATTTATTCCTTAAACTTTTTAAGGACTGACTGCATCCACATACAATTCAACTCAAGGGGAAGCCTTCTGCTTTGGTGATGAGAGACGTAAAGAAAAATAAAGGAAATGATGGAAAGGGAAACAGAAAAAACAGGGAGAGTAAGAATAAAATGGACTAGTAGAGGAAAAGTATGGGGGAAGAGTTGAAGTGAAAAAATGATGGTTTAAGACAAAAGAGGAGGGAAAAGGGGGCAAACAAAAGATGAAAGCAAGAAAAGACGAAAACAGAGATGATAGAAGCGAGCTTGACAGATGGAGAGGAGGGAAAATATCTGAATATGTATGTGCACATCCATATATTATATATATGTGCTGTCCTCAGGCTTTCTGCACCAATAACTGAGAGGTGAGGCTGGCTGCCATGGTAACCACCAACCCAATAACACTAGCTAATAAACATTCACATGTGCATCTCACACCTTCTCTCGTTGGCTCTGTAATGTTGAAAGTGTGTCAGTGTTTAGAAATGCATGCTTCCTATAAAACACTCCAAAAAAGATGGGACGCATTCAAAAAATGTATGCTTATTTTGAATTTCAAGATGTTTTCAAGTAAACATGTGGAAGGGTTTACCACTTTTAAGAAGTTTGTGATGTTTCTTTTTTTTCTTTTTTTCTTTCTTTTTTGTTGTTGTAAAATTGCAGAGCATTGGTGGATGGTTATGTAGATAATGGTTTCATTATCTACATAACCACTACATGACATGGGATTAGAAGAATTCAGAGAAGTCTCTAAGCAAGAAAAGGGCTATGAAACTAGAACTCAGTGGCTACATATAAGCATCCATTATGGTATGAGAAGAGTAGTTTTTTTACATGGCCTGGCTAACCATAAATGCTGAACAGTATGTGAACATTCTGCCATCATTCCTCTCTAGGGCCCATGCGACCATCCCAGGTAGGCAGGGCAATCCCCAGCAAGTTGGAACACAAGTGTCTACAGGCACTGTCCCAAACTTCCATGTCCTATTTCAGAGGTGTGTCATCTAAGACAGTCCCACAGCATCAAGAGCTTCTCATCTACTCCAGTCCCTGATCCTCTACGTGTCATGGTCCTGGGCCATGTGGGCCCAGTATTCTCAGTTCCTTGTATTTTTTGTATTTCGTTCCTTATTTAGGTCATGTTTCCTGAGTTGTCCTGTTATGTTGTTCCTTGTTTGACTTCCCCTTGTGACTCTTATCCCCTGTGTGCCCCTCTATGTATCTGTGAGCCCTCATCTCCCCTCGTGTTTCATTTCCATGTTTCCCCAGCCCACTATGCCCGTGCTCTCTCTCTCCTCCTGTTTGCACCTCTGTGTACTTCCTGTTTTACTTTGACAGTCTCCCGTCAGTGTTGTTTACTCCTGCCATGTCTTGTTATGTTTATCTGTGTCAGCTGTGTTCCCATGTGTGGCCACTTCCCCTGATCATCCCTCTTGTGTATTTAGTCTCTGTGTTTCATGTAGTCTGTGTCGCGTCGTCTGTGTTTCCACCCTCTATGTTTCCATGCCCGGTCTATTGCATTCTTAGTCATAGCTTTACCTTAGTTATTCCCAGTTTAGGTTTCTGTTTAGCCACGCTATCCCTGCTGTATTTGTATACCTTGTCATCAGCCACAATAAAAGGCTCGCTTTTGTTTAAAGTTCACTCCCGTCTGCTCACCTGTGTTCGCACCTGGGTCCACCATACACACCACCACACGGTCTGTCACAGCGGACCGTGACAGTACGAAAGGCATATAAGTTGGATTCTAGAGCGCCACTGCCCGACAATGTCTTCATTTCAGGTCAGCAGCTCCACCCTACTGAGTAGTTGGACAGTTTACCAGATTCCGCTTTGGCTGACTGAAAATCATATTCAATCTCCTCTTAGCACAAGCCACGCATGGCTTGAGTTGCAGGTACCTTCCAACCTTCTACGATTCCAACCAACCAAGGTCGACAGGACTCTTTCTTTCAGCTTGATGGCTGGGGTCCAGCATCTCATTCGGAAATGGCCACCACTGCAGGCACATGCCCCCTCACAGCTGTAGCTCATCTGAGGTGTGGATCTATTCAGGCTCAATGTCCACAGTCTCCCTCAGGATGCTGTTGAATCTCTGCTGATGGTGGGAGTTGAAGATCTCTGGGGTAGGGGCCTCTGCTATGTGCTCGCAGCACATCCTCAAACTAAACGTTTTGGCACGCCAAGCTTACCCAGCATCCTTCTGCACCACAAGATCCAACTCACCACCAGGTGGTGGTCACCTGACAGCTCAGCTGCTCTCTTATCAGAATCAGAATCAGAATCAGAATGGGTTTATTGCCAGATGTTGAGGTTTACAACATTAGGAAATTGCTGCGGTGCTTCAGTGCAGACAATAAGAATTAAAGTGCTATGTAGAAAGAAAGATATGCGCATGAGATATACATGAGATATATACATGAGAATAAGAATTATGAGTGCTACGTAGAAAGATATATACATGAGTGCAGGTGGTGATCAGTGCCAAACATGAAATGATGCAGTGACACAGCGTAGGGTCATGTGTTAGTGGCGGGGACAATCATGTATGTCTATTATCATGAATGTCAATCATGTATGTCTATTATCATGAATGTCAAAACACATACAATATATCCAAGCTCTGAAATACAGAAAACATCTTTTCCAGGAAAGGGTTTGTTTATTTATTTAGTAAGACAATGCCAAACCACATCACCACAGCATGGGTTCATAGTAAAAAAAAAAAGAAAAATCTAGGTGCTAAAGTGGCCTGCAAGAAGTCCAAACATGTCACCCAATTTTTCTAAAAAGAATAATATTTCCTTTTTTTTTAACATCTGATAGTTTGTCTTTTTGTCCTTTTGTTTTTCATCATTCCAGCTTCTTTGGAAAAAGGGTTGTACAAGAGCACGTCTTCACCCTCAGTGCTTTCCTGTCCATCAATAGCATCAAAAGCAATCATCACTGTGTGCAAATCAATGTCCAATCACAGCTTCAGTGATGGAGTGGTGCAAACTTGAGATCAATGCACAGTAAACCACCACCGCTCTATTCTTTCAATGGCTTCTCACCCATTAAATCCATATCTTCTGTTAGTACAGGTAATAACAGGTATTCCTGGAAAACACACATATCCCCGCACACACCTAACCTTTTAGACAACTGATGGTTATGATAAGGCCATGAGAACATTCCAGGACTCAGATCCAACAAACCGTTTCATTACAAAAGCTGCAACAGGTAAAAAGAAAACAACCAACCCCCACCACCAAAAAAGTCCTATTTCCTCATCCTTTTTGCTTTGAACAAATGTGCATGTTACATACAAAGATTTTAGAAACAGTTATGAATCAGAGGAGAGTGAAAATAATGAATGTCAGCACGGCATTTACAGAATAATTATGAACGGTACCTAAATAGATTCAGAACTTCAGAACCTTTGTCGAGCTCAGGGAATCTGGGAATTTCTTTCCCTTGTTTACCAAAGTATAGACAAATGGAAAACTGCTTTGCTTCAATGACTTTTTGTTTTCCTGTGGAGGGATCCACCTCTGGTGTGTCACTGCTCTTTTTACCCACATCTCTGCAAATTTCCAGACAGGGAAGGAGACAAACCCTCACACATTTACTGAGAAACACAGCAGGCTTTTGGACTCTCTGTGGCCATAACCAGTCAATAAGTATCTGAAAATGCCTTGTTGCCTCAGTAATATGGTTTACAGCATCGTGGACTTTAAGTTCTAACCTGTGATACTTGCAGTGAATGAGTCAGGTTACGACTGAGCTTTTCATGTAGGAGAGAGAGAGAGGTCCTTTTTATTAGCCCATTATAGTATCTGCATTTGCATTATGAGATGCAAAGTCAAAAAGCCGTGAAGAGCATTTCTTCAGAGATACCCCTTACATAAACAATTTCCAGTAAGCGTTACAGCCCCCAGAGCATGGCAGATCAACAGATCTCACGCTCTCAGAGATCTAAGATCCAGATCAGGAAGGTGGTTAAAATCGACACTCACTAGTAATAAAGCATATAAAGATAATAAGAACTACAAAGGTTATTATTAATATTTGCTAGCTAGCTGGTTTTTGAAGTTTGCATTTTGCTTTTGCATTCTGTAAATCAGTAACTTTCAAAGAAACAACAGCCATCTGCAGCTTGATCTGTGAATATTGTTAACTGGTAAAAAAAATAGATGCAGCCTGTTCTAGATAGAAAAAAGAAAAAAAAAACACCAGTCAATGCAGGGTGTGAATGAATGAAAACCTTACCGGCCCACAATTAGAAAGAAAACACAAGAGACAGAAAAAAGGAGAAAGAGTGAAACATCTCATCTGCGAACTCTATCAAGAGCTGCCCAAGGCGCTGTGTGTGTGTGTAAATGTGGAAGAAATAGATGAAAAACTGGAGTCTACAGGGACTTGTTCCAGTTCAGTATTTTCCATTTAACAGTGTGACATTTTACTGCGAGGCATTGAACAAACTGCTCCTCTGCGAGCAGCCTCAGCCGTCCTTATCATTCACTGCAGTTTATTATCTGTCAGCTCTTTATTAGGATCTTCACCTCTGTAAATATTTTCACATTTCTGCCACTGAGACTTTTTTGTCATCTCATTCTCACTCTTTTTATGTTATTATGGAGTTTTATTGAGTGCACAGACTGATGTTCAACGGCAACTGCTGCACAGTCACATGGATTTAAACGTCCCTGCTGTATTTAGCCCACGAGCACATCGTTCCTTGTTGATGGAGGCATCGGGACAGACATTTCCCTTTATCTAATTACTACTGACTAACAAGCCATTACCTAATTACTATCGACTAAAAAGCTAACACTCTGTGTCCTTCTCTTTCTACCCAAAGCTTTCATTTGAAAGAATTTTACATTTTCTTTTTTAAGTGAACACATTGAACATGTAGTGACTAGATTATGCTTTATAAACTATATCAAGTGCTTTTAAGGTGAAGTCAGTTCCATTTGAGAACTGCTCCCAGATTGTCAAATCCATCTGAATTGCATTCCTCTGAGCTTGGTTATTGGTTGCTGGCATGGATTTCTGATGGCTTTGCATAAAACAACTTTGCAAAGGTGGAAAGTAACGAATTACATTTACATGCGTTACTGTAATTGAGTAGTTTTTTTTTTGTTTATTTGTACTTTTTAAAGTCATTTTTCAAGTCGGTAATTTTACTTTTACTTAAGTATATTTTTTAAAAAGTATTGTACTTCGCTACATTTTCAATCACACCCATTACTGAGTAAATTAAAAGAACAAACAAACCCCCCCCCCCAACATTGCGCTTCGGAAATACTGCAGGGAATGATGGGTAGTAGAACAAATTGGCGTTGGGTCACGATAAAGATGGAGTCTGACATCGGTGGTACGGATCCAGCAAAAAAAGAAACCCCGTCGAATTCTGCTGACCCTGAACTCGAAGAAACCGATGTGAGGGACCATTTCGGCTTCAAGTGCAAGAAAGCAACAGCTTTATTATAGAATAGAATAGAATAATCTTTAATTGTCCCACAAGGGGAAATTTGGTTGTAACAGCAGCCAGAAAGACACATATACAAAAACAAATATTATGCAGTGTACGCTGTGTTTGCCCAGAGAGACCGAGTTAGCAGCTTTAAAAATTCCACATCAAACCTGCACAAGCATGTAGAGGTAAGTTAAATTAAACTTGTACATTTATTTTAGCAAAAAGGCTGTGCTCAAGTTAATCACATTAAGTTAAGACATAAGCTGTTATTGGGTTATTTTTTTCTCCTTCTCTTTCCTCATGTTGTGCATTTTCCATTGTTATACCTCTCTGACTGCCTTCCCATGTGATGTTTGTGTAATGTACGATGGTCAGAAGGGTAAGATGGTGCTGGCAAAGGTCGGCAGCCTTAATCCAATTTCCTTCGGGGTCAACCTTCAGGATCAATAAAGTTTTATTGAATTGAATTGAACTGAATTGCTCCTCAAAATGAACAGAGCAAGGCCAAGTTTAAAAAATTAAAACACATTTTTATAGCAGCTGCCATACAGCTCAATTCAGTACTTGTTCTCTTATTTGACATGTAAAAGAATTATATGGTTTTGACAGTTGGTTGGTTTGGTGACCATTATCCATTTTGATGTATAGACTTGCAGTTTAACTGCCACTGCACTTTAATTTGTAAAGATTTTCTTTTAATTAAATAACAACTACTTTGAGATTTATCCCATTGTCTTTTTTGCACTACTCAGAAGAGCCTGTCCTCCTGCTGACAAAAAAGTAACTATGTAACTTTTACTCTGAGTACATTTTAAATGAGCTACTTTTTACTTTTACTTGAGTAAATTTTTAGACAGGTAATTTTACTTGTATTTGAGAAAAATTTCAGCAAAGTAATAGTACTTTTACTTGAGTAAAATATTTTAGTACTCTTTCCACCTCTGCAACTATGACTTCAAATATAAGTATCTACACTGGGAGCCCAAAGTGTACCTGGGTTCATTCCTTTTTTTTTTTGTTTTTGAGGAAATAAACGAAGGTGGGCAGCACGGTGGCACGTTGGTTAGCACTGTTGCCGCACAGCAAGAAGGTCCTGAGTTCAATTCCAACACCAGGCTGGGGTCTTTCTGTGTGGAGTTTGCATGTTCTCCCCGTGTTTGCGTGGGTTCCCTCCGGGTACTCTGGCTTCCTCCCACCGTCCAAAGACATGAGTTGTGGGATAGGTTAATTGATTAATCCAAATTGCCACTAGGTGTGAATGTGCAAGTGAATGTGAGTGCGAATGGTTGTCTGTCCCTGTGTGTTGGCCTGCGAAGACTGGCGACTGTCCAGGGTGTACCCCGCTCTCGCCCTATGACAGCTGGGATAGGCTCAACGGCGACTGAAAGGATAAGCGGAAGCGAATGGATGGATGGACAACCAAGGTGGTCACTGTAGTCTGTCAACTGATCGTTTCAAACAAGGGTGGAAATGTGCCGTAAATGTTCAAAGGTGTTGATCAGGGAAATCCCAAAAGCTTTCACTTCCCCCGACCAAGTCACTACGTGAGTGATTCCTGAAGTTCTTTTTATGACTTCTGCTCCTAAGTATATGTGGCGATGTCTCAGTCTATAGCAAAGATTTACTGACCTCAGTAAACCCAAACCCACAGTGTATCTACACAATTACAAGCGTCTTTCTCAAAGGCACAACATTTAGGCGCATAATGTTTAACAGGTAAATTTCAAAATATTGGTGGTTAATTTAAAGCACCACCATAGCCAGTTTCTGTGTGTCATTTCACAGTCCACATATTACTCAAAAAGTTCACAGTTTAGTACCATGATGAGCCAGTTTTTAAACTTTGATGAATCCACTCAATCAGCCTTTTCAGCTGATGAACAATTATGGAAAGTCTTCATGATTTTTGATTGAATAGAATGCGTTAAAGTACCAAATACATCTTTTCACTCCATTAACAGCGGCCCTTCTGTGGATGTCAACATGGGAATTTGAAGCCTGTGCAGTTCTATCTATCGCAAGAGTTTCATAGTTTCCTTAATGAAAAGATTTCGAGAGTGCTATTAAGGGTGATCTTTAACAGAGATGTTGTTTCATTAAACCGAAACCCAAAGCCTAAAGCATGCTGTGTCTTGTCTGATTCTTGTGTGGGCTCTTTTCTTTTGCCAAGAGGTCAGTTGGATGTTTCTAAACCACAAGTCACAAGTTTCATTATTACAGCCAGCCTTGAATGTGAAGTTTTCCTCGACATGGCATTAAAACAACAAAGCAGAGAGGCAGTGCCGTGGAACAACAGGGGAAAATGAAAACTAATTAATTCTCCCTGATAGCCTTAGTTCTCCTTAGTGATGGATTTTCTGTGCCAGTTGCTTTGCGTGCAAACTACCGATAAAAAATGAAGGCAGCCATATGTGTAAATGCATGGATGCAAAACAGCACTGTGATTTACGTGTTTGTCACTCACCGTGGTCGTGTGCAAATACCAGCAAGGAGAGTTCTTTCAGTCTCTGTGCCATCTCATCATATGGGCCACAATGTTCCCCAGCTCCATGGGCAATAAATACCAGAGCCCTGAGAGGAAAAAACACACAAAAAAATAGTTTAGCTCTTCACAAACACAGACCTTTATCCCGTTTTTTGTGCAGAACCGTACTTCCTAGATTTCCTGATAAACTCCTACACTGACCACTTAAAATGGGGTTAAAGTAGAATTGTTCGTGGATGGAAAAGCATCATCTAAATGTAATCTAAAAGAAACCTATTAACAGTAGGATTTAATTCACGCATCTGCCCACCACTTACTTGACTGGATGTGCATCAATGTATTTGCGTACGTGTGTCAAGGGGGGATTGTGAAGCCAGACATTGGGAAAAAATGGCAGATAAAGAATGGGCAGGCTGTGTTTTCAGAGATAACAGCTATCGTCCATCTGCCTGCATGCCTGCCTCAACCAATCCCTTCCTCTTCAACTCAAAACAGAATCAGAGGAGTCCAGTAAAACAAAGAGTGAACCATCACTGCTCATCCATTTTCATCTGTTTCTTTTCTTGCTGCTTATCCGTTTGGAGCAGGACACAAGTTGGAGCCTGTTCTAACTGACAATGAGCAAGAGATAAGGTACACACTGCACATGTCCATCACAAGGATAGCATAGAGACAAAAGATTCATTAGCTCTAGAAGTTACACAGTTGACAAGTATTTCTACTGCATCCCTGCACACTGTCAGTGATGTGTAACACATTTTCAGAATCTTACACCAACATACTGTTCTTCAAGCATGTAGAGACTTGCTTAACGCCTCCCTAAATATAACAAAGCATCATTTCTTCTTCTACACCCAAATAGACAATTTTATATTTCAAACATTAAAGGTATTTTGTGACATGAGGCTATTAGTTCCTGTGTACTCAGAAAGGGATATCTTTTGCTAATTAACAGTCTAGTCTTCTCCTGTCAGACAAGTTTCTTTTAAAAGGTTTTGCCTCTGCTATCGGTGCATATTAAGCAGCGGAGCGGCACCGAAATGCTCAAGCGTTTTTTTCCACTCTAAGCAGCAGCAGCAGCAGCACTGAGAAGGCTGTGAAAGCTTCAATCAGCAGCAGACAATTAGCCCAAATGTATTCAGAGGGAGGGAAAAAAGGAACCAAGTGAAACAGGAGGAAAGGAACTGAAAGTTTGAGGCAAGCTGAGGGGTGGATGCAGAGGAGTATAATAGAAGATGTTCATCAGGCTTCATTAGCAAATTTCACTAACAGCTCTTTTCCTTGTTTTTTTTTTGGGAGAGAGCCGTCGCTTCGGGCTACATGTTCCTCGGCTCGCAAAAAAAAGCATGTGTGTGAATGACCATCTTTGTATGAGAATAATATTGTGTAACACACATGCCAAGGGGCAGCAGGGGATTATTGGGGTTAGTCTAAGCTAACCGTAAAGACAACTGCATGGTGAACAATAGGATACACGCCCTCTTTGCTAATTTGCTGTCTTTGCTTTTCAAATGCCTCCTGTGTCTGTGGGATCTTATCATTTTCTTCCTCTTTCTTCCAGTGTCCTCCGTCTTTCTCATCCTTCAGTAGGTTTTACTGTAGCTTAATGGCGCTTCATCTGTGTAGCTACTGTCTGATGGCAGCTAACAGTAAGAGATGTAAGGATTTAACTGAATCTTAACATATGTTTCTATTCATTCAACAGCAGGAATCTCCAGAAGAATCATTTTCAGAAATATTCAGGCCGCAGTGATGTGTTGGGTCAGCCTTGCAAAGCAAGCAATTTCACTTTGCTAAATGTCTCCTAGGAAGAGGCAGGAGGAGTTCGCTTGAATCAATTACTTGCAAATAGTTCAGAAGACTGTGGTATTTTGACATTTGACTCTTTGTGAAATACAAACTTTACCTTTAACTGAGTGGACGAGTTCTCGCTACAGAAGAAGAACAATAGGAGTTTCAAAATATCAAATGTTAGTCACGTGCACTTTTGGATAACTGGATTAGACGATATCTGGAATTTACACTTTACACTCATACAACTACACGAACCATTCAAGCCATAGGTGCATATTGTATGTCTGAGAAGACACACATGCGATATACAACTTTGAATTGGAGTTTTCACAGGACTCTGTGCAGTCCTGTTGTACGGCCCAGATTGGGTCGAGCTTTAGCTTTCGGACAGATCGGCTCACATTAACTCTAGAATACGTTGGTAGGGAGGAGCTCATAGTCAATTCAGTGACTGCAAGGTGCCCACATGCTGTAGCTGCACAACAGGTCCAAATCATCCACCCTCCACCACCATGAGTTTTTTGCACACAAATGCTATGTTTAATTTTTTGCCAAAAATGGTGCTGTGCACTATGGCTAAACATCTCTACTTTGGTCTCGTCTGTCCACAGGAAAGAAGTCTGTTGCAGTTCTGTATGTTGAATCTGTATGTTGAATTAATGATGTTTAGAATTGGAAGTTTTTCTCTTGATGTCTTGAAAGCTGGAGCAGCTGCAAATGAACTCTAAGCTGTATCCTGGTGTGGCTCATTACACTTGCATGATGAATCTTTTGCATAATGAATTAGAGCTCACATTATTTCATACATGAAGCTGAAATACTTAAATCATACAAAAAAAAGAGACTTTTCTCACCCCTTCTCATTATTTCTTTTTATTCTGTCTTTTCTCTCATGGGAACCAGAGACCCACTTGTCTCTCACACAGTTTTAGCTGCTGGAACAGCATGGCTTATAACCAGCCTTATTAAAACACTCATGCCTCCCACTGGCTCTACTCAGAGCTACTCTAAACAACCACAGGCCTAAACAAAACCAAGGAGCTAATCCCCTTAACACAATGCTGATGGACTACAAGCAAGATTATAGAACCTACCAGCAGAGCTCAAATTCTCCAGTTCAAATGCAAAGTTAAATCATTTCTGGCATTTTGATGCTCGCAAACAGTAAAACAGAGGACACAAATAAGTCCTTGTACATTTTTCCACAGGAACTCTTGCCACAGGATTATTTATGCTGTCTGGCTCTAGGCATTTAAGCATGTCACAGAGCTTAATCTGAGAAAGCCTCACAGCGATGAAATGTCATTGGATTAAAAATAATGCACAATACAAGTACTATATGGGGTTTGCAGTTGGTGTCCTGTCAAGTTCTACATTTTTTTTTTTTAACAGTGGTCTTTATAGAGAGCATGCCTTTTGCACAGCATGAGATTATTTTTAATGCAACAGGTGACTGGAAGAAATCTAGGAACCAAAGCACCTTGCACTGCTATACAAGTTCTTTAACTCTGCAACATGAAATGCAGTGGTAGAAGACACACAAAGACTGCATTGTAACAAGTCTGCTCGATTCAAAACATTTCAGACCTTCAGACTTTCGTATGAGTCAGTAACTTCCAAGGTGACAGGAAGATTTGATGCAATCCCAGCAAAACAAAGTGGATATGACAGAGAAGAACGATGTGACAGGCGGAAAATGACAAGGAGGTTTGGAGAGAGAGAAACTGTGACAAACTGCTATGGAAAGCTACGCTAGAAATGGTGGTGTTATTATAGAAGGTGTGCAAGGGTGTGCTTGACAGTAAAAAACACACACGCAAACAGACAAGAGAGCGACTGCTGTGTGATGGAAAGAAATGGAGGCAGACAGACTGCAGGCAGTCTCATCAGAAACCCAGTAAACATGGTTGAGACAGCAATGTTATCTTGAGGGTAAAAACTGGTGGCAGTATGATGGCAAAACACTGCAAAGTGCACGTACTAAGGACTGGGCCCCTGTCATGCTCATGGGCTCAAATATTTTTAATTTGGCTTTCTTCCACTGATCTTTATGTTTCTGTGGATTCTTTCTGACTCTCTTACTCCAGACGATGTTGAAGGCAGACTTATATCTCAGAGGCCAACGCTGCCGTTTTTCCACCAAGATTAAATATTGAGGAGAGACGGTCAGCCGACAGTTATTTAATGTCAAGATGTTTACCGGGAAAGTTTACACCAGTGAAATGAAAACTCAAACCAGAAAAAACAGCTAAATATTTACGGTCTTTAGATAAATAATACTCTTCTGCACCGTGAAACATTTCAAATAAAAAAACGATCAGTTCAACTAAAGAGCGCACATGCTGTTGAAATTCCAACAAATGGTATTAATTTAATGTCAAACAGCCCGTTGTTTGTGAAAGGTTTAAAAATGAAATGTCACAGTACATTTGCCAGCTGTCTACTTTCAAGCAGAAGGACATCAGCTCAGGCATGAGATGCACATGTAAAGCAGGGCTTCATATCAAAAGATAAATGAAGTGAACTGGTCTGCACAGTCAGCGTCCAGTGCAAAAACATCCTGAGAGGAACGACGTTACCATACATGAGTTATGGGCAGCGTGTGTAATAATGGCTTCACATTAACATGTTAACCTGTTCCTCTGTTTCATACAGTAAACAGGAATAAATGAACCACAATTGTTTCACCTTCCACTAATCATGTTACTTTTAAACTGAGTGAGCAGGGTTACAGTTTAGAGCCTGTGCATACAGGTGGATTAACCATTACTGAAACATAAAGAAATTATTTTGGTAATCACCAATACTAATTCAGGACAGCTGTAGCATAAACTTTGGTGGTCTAATAAATTTGATAAGCACTCTATATCAAAATAAAAAGCAGAAAGTTCAACTTTTAACACTAATCCACAATGTAAAAACACTGATTGCTGTAATATTTTGTCATTGGCACAGAGAGTGTTAATGATGGATTCAATCCCCCTCAGCATGGAGGACACGAGTAACGCACACAAAAGCATTTTTTCCTATTGCACAACTTTTCTCTTTAAAATAACCCCAAATGGTTGTGGCCCAGCCATAATTTGATTTTAGCCACATGCTTTGAATTGTTAACAAGCTGGAATATTCCTCTCCTATCAGGTTTCTGGAGACTGAGAGAGTCAGTCAGTCCCTATTTTGGTATACCCACAGGCTCCTGTGGTGCTGCCTATAAATGTAAATAGCCATTACATTATCACACTCCCACCTCTTAAGCATTTACTGGAGCTTCACACCAAACATGCTGGACACC